CCCCCAAAAAGTGAACCGCACCAAGCCGTACCGTGCTGTACCATGCAGTGGAAAAGCGCCATAAGTGATCAAGGGCTTAGGACATTCCAATTCAGCCCATTCCAAGGGTTTCTCCAGTAGTGTGCACTTATGGAACATAATCAATGACGTACATCCGAGTAAACGAGACGGAGGGAAGTTTGCGAGTGAAGGGCATAAAAAAGCGGACTGGAATGTGGCCTATAAGTGTGTCCCATCAGGTAATGAAAAATGCTACACACACTTGTGGTCTTCATGCTCACTTGAACACTTGGACCAAATACAGGAAATACGTCATAGAAGTAGTCAAGTGGTCAAGTGCAAAGACCGCAAGTGTGGGTATTTGGAGAAGGGGGATATTCCGATTCAGCCCATTGCAAGGGTTCGGCCACTAGTGGGCACACGTGCAACGTAATCAATGACGTACATCTGAGTAAAGGAGACGGAGGGAAGTTAGCGAGTGAAGGACTTAAATTGGCTAGAAGGGATACAGCTCCGACCGGAAACTAACAATGAAATTAATGTTCTACCTATTAGATTGTGTTTTATTAACGTCTACACCTACCCCAACCCTAAACCTTCCCCTTACAATAATAATAATTATTGTTGTACAGTGTTACAAAAATTACGCTATATTGATGAGCGCATGCCCAGTAGCCGCAGCTGTATCCCTTCTAGCCTTAACCGACGTAAATAAATGAACTGGAACGCAAGTGAACTGAGTGCGTTAGATAAGGGAACCACTGTTCTAGTGATTCTGAAGACCTTGATTAGCTGCGTCGGGTGTGTTTAATTAGGGTTGGAGCTAAACTCTGATCTCCAGGTATAGGTTTGGACACCCTGTTCCAAAAAAATACAAATTGATTTTGGTTAATTTTATAAGGCGTTCTTATGTGCTTTGATAAATATTTCTGTTTTATACAGAACTTTTTAATGAATGTTATCAAAAAAAAAAAAATGAAAACACTCATCAACGCATTTAACTTTCAGTATTGTCAAAATCAGTATTTTTTTTTTAAATATCTAATACAATGAACTGATTAGTTCAACAAAGAAAGACTAAAAGGTTGCAGTATATTATAAATGTTGTTAATTACTTTGACCCACAATCAGAAAGTCCCATACAAAAGTATCATTGATGGTGGATTACGGTCTGGAAAAGTCATCATCATTGAAGGAGTCATCAATCCTGATGGGTTTGACAACAAAAATAACACCTTCTGTTTGAAATTTTCTCTTTGAATCACGACAGCTTCCAGCTGATCAGAAAAACATTCCTCTTCTTTCCCCAGAATGGAGATTTTTCTACGGCACAAAACTGGAATTGCGTTTTACTACAGTCCTCGTTTTGATGAGAATGTGGTTGTGTGCAACAGCTATGAGGATGGGACATGGGGCGATGAGGAAATTTATGAGCTCATGCCGATTGAAATAGGACAACCGCTGCAAGTAAGCAAACATTTGACTTTATGATCCCTGAAAGTACCATTGATATTCAAGTGGACAGTGTGGATATGACTGTAAATACACTGGACAATAACTGTACAGTACAATTAGGGAAAAGTCTGTAAAGTGTGCAGTACTGAATGATTTTAATGCATTTCAGGTCACCATTTTCTGCAGTCATCAGGGTTACGAGGTGTTTGTCAATGGTGAACAAACTCACACTTACAGCCATCGCTACACTAATCTGGAGGAGATTGATGTTCTAGACATTCGTGGAGATGTGCAGCTGAGCTTTGTGCAGCCCTGACAAAGATTTCATCCAGATCTATGAGGAAAAAATGTTCAAAACCTACAACAGCTGCAGTGATGATAATAATAATACTTAAAAATTAATAAACACAGTCTGTTCTGCAGTGATGTGTCCAACCTATCGGTGCTATCTGTGTTAATAATTCTAGTAAAATATGCCTACAAACACAATTTCTTGGGGGGGTTTACACAGGACTTTAGCTTTATATGTGTGAATAGCAGCGTAAACAAGACATTGAGGATTCAATCGTCGCATCATGCACCTGCTGCGCTTCTGTGAAAGGAGAAAAACAGAAATGAAGTCTATAAAAGGAATAAAATAAATAGGATCACACTAAATATATAATAGGCTATAATATAATTAACAGATTAACAAAAGGGGGAAAAAAAACTCTGTGCAACAAGTATAGGCTACGCTCGTTTTTGTGACACTCTTAATGCATTTTATTTATTTTCTTTGTCTTTTCATCGTCTGCTTGTTTACGTCTTTAATTGATTTTTCCGTACATTTCTGCCATATGTACATTAACTGACAGTCACCACTGATAAGCTACCACTAAATTTTGTTGAAACTTAATTTGCTGTAAAGTTGCTTTGCAGCGATTTGTATCGTGAAAAGCGCTATACAAATAAACTTGAATTGAATTATGTCTTTATTTGATTAAATCCACCAGATCGCACAGGCGCCTCATGCACACACAAACAACACTAGTTCTACCGTTGCCTGACAGTATGCTGTTTATAATGAATGCCACTAAAGCCTAATTAGATTCATTTTATAGTTGAATATATAATTTTATAACTACATATTTTTCATTATTGTTCTGTTCTGAATACCGTTAAATGTAAAATATTTGTTGTAGAGTGAGGGGAACTAAATAGGCTGTTTATATTTAAGAGTATTTTAATATACATATACAGTGGGTACGGAAAGTATTCAGACCCCCTTAAATTTTTCACTCTTTGTTATATTGCAGCCATAATGTTTATGTTCGTAAAGCTTTCCTTTTATTTACCGGTATTTAATATACATTTAAATGAATGTACTTGTTTGCAGTTACAAGGTTAACGAGTGTTTTTAGAGTAAGATTAATTTCTCTTTCACGAGATTACTTCCTCTTTTTGGCCGGGTTTCGTTTCTCCGTGTCGTAAACTCTAGGGGCGTGGCTTCTAAACTGGGCTGTTTTTAGGTGCGTGATATGCAAATGACGATTGTTTTCTGCCGCCATATTTATCAACGTGCGATCATTGTACGATGAGATTGGCGGCATACGAATGTTTCATGAATCACACGTGAACTCTGTCATAAGTTGTTTTGTGCACACGGATCTGCGCTCGTTTCTACGTTATATTGATAAATGAGGCCCACTGTGTTTTCTTACGGGCTTTGTAGTCATCTAACACTCACTTAAAGTTAACTATTAAAATAAGTTAATTTAATAAATGTGATCTTTAGCAAATCTCAGCGAATATATGCATGTTCATGCTGCACAATCTAATGTTGCAAGCTAGGACTAAATCTACTTGTCACGTTTCAAATGATTCATTTTAGTTTAGTTTTTGTTTCTATGTAAATTTTAGTCAGATTTGTGCACACGGATCTGAGCTCGTTTCTACATTAGATTGATAAATGAGGCCCAATGTGTGTAAGTCTTTGACTTGTGTTTCCTCAAAGTTTACCTAATTTGTTTGGATTTAGTTTCAGTTTGATTCTAGCTCCATGTTTAATCTGATTGCAATTTCAAGTGATCGTTACATTTAGATCTAATTAAGAACTAATAGAAAAAATCTATCATGAATTAATTTAGATATTTGATTATTTTGGACATCCCAGAGATCATGGATCCTATGATCACAAATTCGAAGTCTAATCTTAATCAAAGGTCGCAAGGTTCATTTAAACAAAATGGGAAATGTTCCTTAGGCTATAACTTTCTAGTTTCTTCATCAATAATATAATAACTGTCTTCGTTTGTGTTTTTGAATCTTAAAGAGGTCCGATGTGTTGAACAGTGACGCATTAATATCAATGAATCATGTTGCTGTGTATTAAAGGGGTCATATGATGCGATTTAAATTTTTCCTTTCTCTTTGGAGTGTTACAAGCTCTTGGTGCATAAAGAAGATCTGTAAAGTTGCAAAGACTAAAGTCTCAAATCCAAAGAGATATTCTTTATAAAAGTTAAGAGTCAACCACACCTACCTAAAACGTCTCGTTCTAACACGCCCCCACATATCTACATCACTATGTGGGAAGATTTGCATAACGCCGCCCAAATGTTCACGCAAAGAAAGAAGGCGTAACTTTTATTCTCGCTGTAGTATTGTTGTTGCCGCCGCCATGTCGTGAAGGCGCTGTGTGTTTCGTTGTGAAAGCGAAACTACTTTGTTTGGCCTTCCAAGGGTACACTGCTGAATGACATTATCGCTGAAAGAAAGTTGGACATACTACTGCTCACTGAAATCTGGCAATTACCTAATGACTTTATGGAACTTAATCTGTTGACTCCTCCTCGATACTGCCATCTGTCTAAACCACGTCTCATTGGCAGAGGCGGTGGCCTAGCAGCTGTAATTAAGAACAACTATAAGACTGACAACATTGATTTTCATGTTGTTGTTTGCTTTGAATATCTGTCATTCAGAATTTCTGGTCCTACACCACTCTTGATACTGCTCATCTACAGACCTCCTAAACACAATGCAAACTTTCTCTCTGATTTCACCGAGTTGCTCACTATTGCCTGTGCTCAACATAACAATATTATCATGTTTGGTGATTTCAACATTCATGTGGATATTGATTGTGCTTCTGCTAAGGACTTTATGGCTATATTGGATTATTTAGATTTTTCACAGCATATTGATTTTCCTAGTATTAGGTATTTAAGCAGGGATAGTACTGACTAACATGAAAAGTAAGAGCCCAGATGATGTCACTCACCTGTGAATGATGAGATTGGCGTGTGTAAGAGGCGGTGTCACGAATCCTGTCCATGGACTTCCGTTCAATCACCACCAGAGGTCACCCTTTCATTACATTGACTCTCGCACAACACAAACTGTCGCATATCACCCCTGACTACATATCCCATCATTCATTGCACTGATTGCACACAGCTGTTTCACTGATTGCACACAGCACTGATTGCACAGCTGTTTCATATCACTCACTCACTATATAACACTCACTCAAACTACCATTCTCTGCTGAGTATTGTTTAGCCTGTACCCTGTTCCGAGTCTCTGTGTTTCCTTGTTTTGTCTTGCCTTGCCTGTTTTCTCGGTTTCTGATCCTTGCCTGTTTCCCTGGATTTATCCCTCTCGTCTCGCCCCTGTGATTCTGTCTGCCGATCGTTGACCTACGCTAGCCCTAGGACTATTCTTGTGTTTTGCCCGCCATATACCTGTTTGCCATTGTTCGACCCTGCCTGTTATGACCACGTCTCTGAAATAAAAGCTTGCAGATGGATCCACACGTCTCACGTCTCGTCAGCCCCGTTACAGGCGGGGTCTTAGACTCAAAAAGGAAAACGCTGCCCATGTGTGGACACGTATAAAAAAAAAAAGCTCTCGCCTCAAATCATGTACCCTCCTTGTGTTAGTCAATGATTTATTTTTGTTTTTGGGATTATGATTATCTCTGTGTTTTAACACAAAAAGGAAAAAGAAAAAAAAAAGTAAACTTCAACGAAAACCGTATCCACGCTTGGGCTGGACTGAGAACGCCGGGCATCTATGCTGCATCGCTGGGCCAGAATGAGGTTGGGGCAAAATGCAGGTGAGTGACCTCTCTCTGGGTGGCTGTTAGCTGACACACACACACACACCCTTGCATCCCTGCATCTTGGTTAGGACTGCCTTCCACGTTATTTCGCATTATGTAGGCAAAGTTGTTTGGTGTTACGACCGATAAACAAAAATAAAAACCTCTGGATGCTTGTAGTAGTAATATATTTTGGTTCGTTATATCAGAGGTAGCTCACTAGACACACTCATTCTCATACACTTGACCTAATCTGTTTGGTTGGCATTAATAATGTCTGTGTCCAGGGTCTTGAAGTTGGCATGTCTGACCATAAACTCACTGACTTTAGTTTTTGTCTCACCCTTGCTAAACCTAAAACCAAATCTAAAATATCTTACCAAAACCTGAAAAACATAAACACCGACAATTTCTCTACTGCTATAGCTGCTTCTTCTTTTGCCTCTCTCTGTTAATCTCTCCTGTCCTGGTGCGATAGTATCATTATATAATCATGTTACATCTGATGTCCTGGAGGCTTTGGCCCGATTAAAGTCCACAACTGTCCCCTCAGCTCATTCTTCCCCTTGGTTTACTCCGGAGCTCAGACTAATGAAAGCTAAGTGTAGGCGTCTTGAACGGCTCTATAAGAAGACTCGTCTTCTCGTTCATGCGACCCTCTACTCATAATTCATATCACAGTTTAAAAAAAAGCACTTAACACTGCATACGCTAATTACCTGTCCACCATTACACACAGAGCAAAGTGCAAGCCCAAGACCCTATTCTCTGAGATCAACAAACTTGTTAAACCACCATCACCCTTTCTTAATGGTTCTTCTCACCTTTGTGATGATTTTCTGACATTTTTTACAGACAAAATAAAAACATTTTTATCAATCCTTTTCTTCTGTTGTTCTTCCAGAAACTGCTACTTCTCAGATACTTTATCCACTTTCAAACTTTTCACTAACTAATACATCTGTGGTTGAACAGCTGATTATGAACTCTAACTCCTCTACCTGTCAGCTAGATCCTATTCCAACACACATACCCAAAAACGTTTTCAGGAGGGAAAAGAAGTTGGATGTCCCATCAATGAAGAATAATTCACAAATCATCCACTAGAGGTCATGTCAGTGCTGTTTAACCAGTAAAAACACTATGACCTTAAATGACTTGCAGGTCAATCAGATTTATTGAAACATTGACCCCAGTTACAAAAACATACAAAGTGAAACATGAGAGGAAACTCTTTATAATATTAAATACATAAATATATAAAATAGAAAACAAAAAAAAAGAGAGAAAACAAAGAAAACTATAGCTAGGAAAAAAACTAGAGGAACTAGTAAAAGTAAAGGCCAAAGGCAAGTAACTAAGGAACGTAGAGATGTGACATTAGACACTGAAGCTTCAAAGCTTGTTAACAAAAAAAAAAAGAAACATCTCCAAGTGAAGTACTGTACCGGAGCTTGATTTGTTTTACCATAACCACGTGATCTGTGATGTCCGAAGCTTCGTTTATAAAGTATGTTTTGAAAAGCTAACAACATTAACATCATTCTCATTATGATAATAAATGATATTCGCTTTAATTCTGATTCTGGCAAAATATCAGTGCTGGTACTACTAGATCTCAGTGCTGCGTTTGACACTGTCGATCATAACATACTACTAGAGAGACTGCAAAACTGGGTCGGGCTTTCTGGGATGGTACTCAAATGGTTCTGGTCAGGGAGAGGTTATTATGTGAGTATAGGAGAGCATAAGTCTAAGTGGACGTCCATGACATGCGGAGTCCCACAAGGCTCAATTCTTGCACCGCTCTTGTTTAGCCTGTATATGCTCCCACTAAGTCAAATTATGAGAAAGAACCAAATTGCCTATCACAGCTATGCTGATGATACCCAGATTTACTTAGCCTTATCTCCAAATGCAGCCCCATTGAGTCCCTCTGCCAATGCATTGATGAAATTAACAGCTGGATGTGTCAGGACTTTCTTCAATTAAACAAGGAGAAAACTGAAGTCATTGCATTTGAAAACAAAAATGAAGTTCTCAAGGTGAATGCATATCTTGACTCTAGATATCAAACAACTAAAAATGAAGTCAAGAATATTGGTGTAATTCTGGAGACAGACCTTAGTTTCAGTAGTTATGTTAAAGCAGTAACTAAATCAGAATACTATCATCTCAAAAACATTGCAAGAATTAGATGTTTTGTTTCCAGTCAAGAGTTGGAGAAACATGCCTAGGATCGAGTCAGTTAGAAATACCAAGGGTTCACACAAAACCAGGGGAATCCGCTTTTAGCTATTTTGCCGCCCGCAGTTGGAATCAGCTTGCAGAAGAGATCAGATGTGCTAAAACATTAGCCACATTTAAATCTAGACTCAAAACTCATCTGTTTAGCTGTGCATTTATTGAATGAGCACTGTGCGACCTCCGATCTGATTGCACTGCATTTTATATATAATCATTTTCTATTTTTAACTGTTTTAAATTCATTTTAAATCCATTTTTAAATCATTTTAAAAGTTTATAAATTCATTGTTTTATTGTTGTGATTCTTTTTTTATATGATTATTTTACTTCCTTTCTATGTAAAGCACTTTGAATTACCATTGTGTATGAAATGTGCTATATAAATAAACTTGCCTTGTAGTAGTTTTTCTAGTTTCATGACAATAGGCTAAATTAATCATAAAAAAAATATTGGCGTGTTTTTGAAATTTCATTACAATTTTTGACCACGCTATCACAAAACATGTTGAGCACATTCAGGGCCTGGTGTTGAAGACACATACCAAGTTTCATAACAATACACCAATGCATTCGTAAAATACAGCATGTTTGTTCAAAATTCACTTCCACTTTGGTGAGCTTTTCGACAAATTTGTTTGCGCATTATTCGGAAATGGTTTGACTGATCAACTTCATTTTGCTTTAGTTGACATGGTCTGAAGATGAAATGGTTCAATTCCAAATGGTTTTGCTTACAAAAATTTTATTTATATTAAAAATTTTGTTACGAAAAAAGAACATGCATCTTAATGTGGGTCTTGAACATGTTTATAGTGGTTGTGGTTTGAACAGATGAGTAAATTATTCCACAACTGTACAATTATCCAACAATCACTCATTAAACAGTCGAGCACAGGCTTTGTGTTCGCTGGTCTGTATCATTCATTTGAGGGTGCTGTAGATCACAGATGCATCTTCCACAGTTTGAACATTTGATTGCCTGAAAAATCAAAACAAACAGGACGATGTTACAACCCTGATTAGATGATCTGTGCTGGTGATGTTGGATTTTTCTCACCTCTCGGCAGCATCGGGCTGATGAACTCTTATTTCGTCATACTGACATTCATTGTCTTCCGGTATGTTCATCTCTTTCTTTTGGTGATACTGGACAGTTGTGTACTGGATCTCCTCAGTATCTCTGGATTCAGGAGTTTCTCCTCTGAAGCTGCTGGGTTCCACACTGGCATACGGAGCGTCATTGACTGTATCAGGTTTAGTAAGAGACTCGTCATGGCCTGAAACTCTCTGTGACACATCAGCATAAAGATCAGTTTTGAAATAAAAAAAACTACATCATTATTAATTAAGAGATGTCTGAAGTGTAGATTCTCAGTACACAGAAGTGTGACTTATCAAATCACATGAATGTAGTGATGCAAAATACAAAGTATATTTCCTTGAGTCACTCATGGAGTAGAGAAGAATAGGACAGTATTTGATCAATTTAGTTTCTGCTTTTGTAAAGTCATGTCGTGGATGATTTACCTGTTTCATTGTGAGATCTTCAGTTTTAACACTCTTTCTTTTCCTGTTATAAGGACAGACATTAACAGCATATGAAAGAATGTACAGAGAAAAAATATGAATGCTGTTCTTAAGGATTACTAATAATCAAAAATGCATGAGCCATTTCTAATACATCAGAACAAAAGTGAAAATATATAATCTCTGCAGTTTTTGTTTTTTTTCAATTTAACTCGCATTGCAAACAAAATGATGATTATGATGATGAAGATAATGATGATGAATAATCCTCCAGATGTTGCTGCGATCACAATCACGTTCCTATCAGCAGCAGGATGAACTGAAAGATGAAGATCATCATAATTAAACTGATGCATGATGTGAAGATACAGGAGTGTGTTAATAAAAGCTTCACCTGTGACAGTAACAGCGTCTGATCTCTGAGATCCATGTTGATTGTGAGCCTCACAGTAGAAGCGTCCACTCTGTAGTGCACTGAAACTCTGTCCAGATCCAACAGCTGAGCTTTGATTCTCCTTAAACCAGCTGAAGTTCAGAGCAGGAGGTTTTGAATCACTGCTGCAGATCAGAGTCACTGAATCTCCCTCCACTATTTCACCAGATCCATTTATGAACACTGAGACATTCTTTGGTGCATCTAGAGAGGACATAAATTAAATATGTAGTTCCAAAATGTTACATTTACATTCAATTATTTAGCAGACGGTTTTATCCGTTAGAGGGTCAAGTTCTTTTTTTTTTTTTTTTTTAAGAAATAGAAAGAAAAGTCGATGGAATAGGAGTAGAATAGAGAGTGCTAGCGTTAGAGGGTCAAGTGTAGATGGAAGAGTTGTGTCTTTAGGGTAAAAGTCTGTGAAAGTTATAAATAAAACGTTTTTAAAAAGATCAAATGAATCTGTACTCACAGGTGACATTGAGATGAGCAGCAGGAGAGATGTAACTGTGTCCATGTAGAGCACAGCTGTATCTGCCTGCATCCTCTCTTCTACCAGATCCATTTATGAACACTGAGACATTCTTTGGTGCATCTAGAGAGGACATAAATTAAATATGTAGTTCCAAAATGTTACATTTACATTCAATTATTTAGCAGACGGTTTTATCCGTTAGAGGGTCAAGTTCTTTTTTTTTTTTTTTTTAAGAAATAAAAAGAAAACAAGTCCATTGAATAGAAGTAGATTAGAGAGTGCTAGCATTAGAGGGTCAAGTGTAGATGGAAGAGTTGTGTCTTTAGGGTAAAAGTCTGTGAAAGTTATAAATAAAACGTTTTTAAAAAGATCAAATGAATCTGTACTCACAGGTGACATTGAGATGAGCAGCAGGAGAGATGTAACTGTGTCCATGTAGAGCACAGCTGTATCTGCCTGCATCCTCTCTTCTGACTGACTGCAGCAGGAGTTGATTGTTTCCGTCTCTTCTCTCAGTTAATGGCTGTGAGTTTCTGTACCAGATGAATGTTGCTCTGTCAGTCAGAGTGCAGCTGCTTTTACATGTCAGACTGACATTATGACCCTCTGTCACTCTCTCAGGAGCCTCCACCTGAAGATCTGAACACAACACACACATTATATCTAGTGCTGCTGTCATACACTGATTATTATTCAACATAATGCACAGAAGAAGAGCTCAGCCTCATGAAAGTCACCTGTGACAGTAAGAGTCACTCCTGGATAACCAGTCCATTTTCCCCATTTTCCATCAGTGATGAATCTGAAACAGTACTTGTGTTCATCCTTCTGTGTCACATGACTCAGTCTGCTCAGTCTGATCTGCTGTTTGTCTCCCAGATACTGAAGCCTCTGACTGTATTCAGGATCCTTAGACAGATCTGGAGGCTCTTCACCCATTACAGGGTTTTTGGTCCAGAACACTTTCATGATCTTATATCCAGTAGGGTATGTATAAGTGCAGCTCATTATCACTGATGAGTCCTTTAGTGCACAGATGTGTGAATGACTGTAACTCACACCCCAATAACCACTAGAAACCCCTGAAATACAGAATTAATTTTGAGCACAACTTCATATTCTTTTAAGGCTCTCTAACATATTCTTTAAAATGGGTCATGAACTGCATTTTTAAAATTATTTTAAAATGTTCTTTGAGGTTCACTTATAATGTTAGTGTGATTTTACATAAAAAAACATAATTTAGAAGTATTAGGCTATTTTCTATCCTGCTTTTGAGCCTCTTTGCAGAACGGTCTGTTTTTATAGGCGGGGCTCATTCAAGACTCAAGGAAACGCCCACTGCTGTCATTGGCTAACAGTTTCTGTGACGTACTCTGAAAACAACATGGATCGTTTGGGTTAAAAACGTGTAAATACTCAGTATGATGATCTGGAACAGACAATGTAAGTGGTAAAAGCACGTTTACTCACACGTATGTGTTGCGACATTACTGTTGGATCTGCTCTAGTCGGACTCTGCGCTGCATCAGCGTTTACTTTCAGTCTCTCTGCCTGCGTCATACTCTCATTTAAAAATGAATCCGTAGTAAATTAAAGCAAACAAACAATTAGTGTTTAACTGAAGCGATCTGAAGCTCTTTGCTCATTTCCCCCCGTGTTTAAATCGGACGCGACTCTAGACAACAGAACCCATTATAATCTGTGATTCTGTGAAGCCTCTGACTGTATTCAGGGTCCTCAGACAGATCTGGAGGCTCTTCACCCTTTACAGGGTTTTTGGTCCAGAACACTTTCTTGATCTTATATTCAGTAGGGTATGTATAAGTGCAGCTCATTATCACTGATGAGTTCTTTAGTGCACAGATGTGTGAAGGACTGTAACTCACATCCCAACCAGCACCAGAAACCCCTGAAACACAGAATTCATCAGGATGAAAATGTTTTTTCAGTCACAACAGACCACAAACATATGATGATACTTTTTTACTGCTTGAAAACAGCAACTCTATTGAGTGATAAATGATGTGATGTTCATCATCAGCTTTTATGAAGGGTGTTGCAGAAAAGCAGAAGTAAAAGCACAGAGACAAAGGACTAAAAAAAAAAAAACAAGTAATCAGCCAAGAACAACATATCAAATAATTAATTAAACTGATATTATCAGGGGCGGACTTACCCATTAGGCAAAGGTAGGCGACCGCCTTGGGCCCCCAAAAGCCAAGGGCCCCCTAAAATACTTTTCATATAGGATATGCGCATTAAGCACTGACACGCGAACGGTTGCTGTTACGGTGTTTATTACCACGACAACCGTCCGAGTCAGTGGCGCCTGCAGGTGTATGGCACTGTGAGTACCATGAGCGCTCAGACTGACCTCAGATTTGCCCCGCAAACATTTCAGCAGTTATCATAGGCCTGTGTGTCCCATATTTCTGTCGACTGAACCAGCCATGCCATTAATTATGAATTTATCAGTCTTTTGCACGCGAAAGTCAATTTCTGTATAGAAATATTACGCCAAATTGAAGCTCAAAATTGTGCTATACTACGCACTTTCATGAGATCGGGTTAGCCAACAACAATGAATTTGTAGGCTATTTTACAAATGGGAATACAACGAATTCATGACAATGTTTACATTCAAGCTACCCGTAAAATTTATAGTGAAAGTACTTTAAAAGCGTCTGGAATGTAATAAAGTAATTGTAAAGCTGTTTTTAAAGCATTTGCTGCATGGGTAAAAAATAGGCTAATAAATAATTCACATATACAAATTTGCGTTGCAGCAAATCCTTTAAATGTTCAGGTATTCAGAACAGAGCAACATAAAAATCAGAAAAAGCAGCTATACAATTATAGGACAAAGTTTTACACATATGCGATGTGTGAAGGACTGTAACTCACATCCCAACCAGCACCAGAAACCCCTGAAACACAGAATTCATCAGGATGAAAATGTTTTTTCAGTCACAACAGACCACAAACATATGATGATACTTTTTTACTGCTTGAAAACAGCAACTCTATTGAGTGATAAATGATGTGATGTTCATCATCAGCTTTTATGAAGGGTGTTGCAGAAAAGCAGAAGTAAAAGCACAGAGACAAAGGACTAAAAAAAAAAAAACAAGTAATCAGCCAAGAACAACATATCAAATAATTAATTAAACTGATATTATCAGGGGCGGACTTACCCATTAGGCAAAGGTAGGCGACCGCCTTGGGCCCCCAAAAGCCAAGGGCCCCCTAAAATACTTTTCATATAGGATATGCGCATTAAGCACTGACACGCGAACGGTTGCTGTTACGGTGTTTATTACCACGACAACCGTCCGAGTCAGTGGCGCCTGCAGGTGTATGGCACTGTGAGTACCATGAGCGCTCAGACTGACCTCAGATTTGCCCCGCAAACATTTCAGCAGTTATCATAGGCCTGTGTGTCCCATATTTCTGTCGACTGAACCAGCCATGCCATTAATTATGAATTTATCAGTCTTTTGCACGCGAAAGTCAATTTCTGTATAGAAATATTACGCCAAATTGAAGCTCAAAATTGTGCTATACTACGCACTTTCATGAGATCGGGTTAGCCAACAACAATGAATTTGTAGGCTATTTTACAAATGGGAATACAACGAATTCATGACAATGTTTACATTCAAGCTACCCGTAAAATTTATAGTGAAAGTACTTTAAAAGCGTCTGGAATGTAATAAAGTAATTGTAAAGCTGTTTTTAAAGCATTTGCTGCATGGGTAAAAAATAGGCTAATAAATAATTCACATATACAAATTTGCGTTGCAGCAAATCCTTTAAATGTTCAGGTATTCAGAACAGAGCAACATAAAAATCAGAAAAAGCAGCTATACAATTATAGGACAAAGTTTTACACATATGTCATTATAATTTGTGTTTTATTTTTTAATTGTACGGAATTATAAAATAAAACGCAAATTATAATCAGGCCTGTTTTAGCCTTTTCCTTATTTTTATGTTTTAGATATCCATAAATTATGGTAATGAAAAATATGACTCGCCATCTCCTCGTTGGATGTGCCTTTAGAGAGAAATGCACGGATTACGTAATGAAAGAGTTTCTATTTTAGCTTTGAATTATTTCGCTTTAAAGTAGTAATTTAAAGCTTTCTATATCTTTTTTATCATGTCTGTGAGGCAATTCTGTGAGGCGGTTCATCATTGTGAAGCGCTCCCATTCAAGCCCGAGACGGCAGCGTTTGTTTTCTTTATTTTATAAAAGCACAACGTTTTGTTGATATTGTGAGTGCACACAAATAAAACTAGCCCCTTTACAGTTTAGAATGATGTATTACTCTTACCTTTATGAGCAAAAATGACTGCGTATTAAGTTGTTTCCACTGTTAGAAAAAAATGCCAGTGATGGCGCTGGCGCCTCCATGTGCTGCCGAGCGCGCTTCAGCTTCAACCCTCAGCACAAACGACTGGATATGAGTCTAACAGCACACATTTACCTAGGTTAAACATTAAACTAACATTGTGATATGCTTGAACTGTTTTATATCTATAGATTTTATTTTAGGCAA